CCAAGGATTGGCCGTGACTCATCCACATGGCTGACACTGACAAAGGTTCTACAATCTGAGGTACAGGATTTCAAGATAAATCCTGAGGGCATTTCACTGACCTTGTCAGACCAAAAAGCTACAACTCTTGTTGCACAGGTCCTGCTTTACCTTGGTCTTAACCATCCAGTAGAAAAGTATGAAGATGAAATATAGGAAGTAAAGCCATGTTGTTATGTTGAGCTGTGGGGGACTCAGATCAATAATTTCTGACATTGCCAGTTAAACAGAAGACCCAATGATATTATGGGCTTCTGTACTCTTTTAGAATATTTTGCTGAGTTTACACACCTATAATATTCAACAACGGAACTTAAAAAAAATTGGGGTATAACTATGAATGTCCATTTTGTATCTGTGTATTCAAATAGTTGCATTCTCTTAATGAATAGAATGTTTTTTTTCTAATGGTGTTTGTAAGTAGGATCACAAGTCTGCATCTTGTACAGCAATTAACCACTGAGAAGAATGTATGCAGTGTATTATTTGTTGAAACTGTACTTTCGATTTGATTTGAAACTGTCTCATTGCTATACGTTTATCAATAAAACTTTGAAAAGAAAAAAAAATACCCAAAAGTCAATAGCATTCCTCTACACAGATAACAAACACACTGAGAGTGAAGTTAGAGAAAGAATACCTTTTACAATAGCACCGAGAAAAATGAAATACCTTAGAATTCATCTAATTAAAGAAGTCAAAGATCTTTTCAAGGAAATTATAGTACTCTTAAAAAAGAGATCGTAGAGGATTTCAGAAAATGGAAAGATGTTCCATGCTCCTGGATAGGAAGAACCAATATTGTGAAGATGGCCATACTCCCAAATTGCTGTACCAATTTAATGCAATCCCTATCAAACTACCACCAACATACCTCACAGAGCTAGAGCAATCATTCCTAAAATTTATTTGGAACCAGAAAGTACCTAAAATAACAAAGGCTATCCTGTGCAATAAAGACAAGGCAGGAGGCATTACAATTCCTGACTTGAAATTATACTACAAGGCTACTGTGATAAAATCAGCATGGTACTGGCAATGAAATAGACCTCAGGATCAATGGAATAGATTAGAAAATGCTGAAGCCCATACGAACACCCTTATTCACCTTATGTTTGACAAAGGGGTGAAATGAGTTGTAGGGGACTCAGGTGAACAATTTCTGACACTGCCAGTCAAGAGAAGACCCAATACTATTATGGACTACTGGACTCTTTTAGAATATTTTGCTGAGTTAACACACCTATAATATTCAAGTGATGGAACTAAACAAAAAAGGGTATACAGATGAATGTCCATTTTGTATCTGTGTACTCAAAATAGTTTAGGATAGATTTATAGTTACATTCTCTTAATGAATAGAGGGATTTGTTCTAATAGTGTTTGTAAATAGGATATAATGTCTGCCTCTTGTACGGCAATTAAACAATAGGAAGAGAGTATGCAATGTGTTAATTATTGAAACTGTCTTACCAATTTGATTTGAAACTGTCAAATTGCTCTATGTCTCTCAATAAAATTATGGGGAAAAAAGGCAATTCTATCAGAATCACAGCAGACTTCTGAACATAAATGCTCAAGTCACGGAGAGCTTCAAGTATTTCAAGCCCTATAAGAAAAGCACCTTCAACCGAGGTTGAAGTACTCTGAAAAACTTTCTTTCAAAATTGATGATAAATAAGATACTTTCATGATGAAGAACATTGGGCAAAATTCATGAACATCAAACCAGAATTCCATAATGCTCTGAGGACATTCTACAAAGAGATAATGAATACAATTCCATCTACCTCAAGAGAATCAATCCACCAAGCAAGGCAAGCAGTTAAACAGAGTACAAAATGGGGGTCAAGAAAAGGAAATCATGTGAGAAGGATAAGTTGATACATATCAATTATAACCATTGAATGGTAGTGGTCTCGCCTTACCAATCAAAAGAAACAGATTGGCAGAATGGATCAGGAATGAAGATCAAACTATGTGCTGCATACAAGAAAGACATTTAACTCAAAAAGAATTTAAAGGATCCAGAAAAAGCAGGGATAGCTGTTATTATTGCAAGTAAAGTAGCTTTTTAAAATGTATGTAGCACAGGATCTACAGAGTCTACAGGGTCTCACTATACAGATTGGACTCTTAGTGATCCTCCCATTTTCAGGATTACAGGCATGAACCACCACGCCCAGTCCCAATCTCCATCTCAGCACTCCTGGGGGGTTGGGCAGCACAGCACTCTGGGGATTGAACACCAGTCCTTGTGCCTGCCTAAAAAGGTGGTTTAGTCCACCGAGCTATCTGACCGGCCCTGCAACAAAGTGACTTTTAAGACAAAACTGATTAATAGAGGCAAAGAAAGTCACTACATGCTTATAAAGGGAACGATCCAAAAATAAGAAGTAACAATTATAAATATATGTGAAACAAATTCCAGTGGACAATACTATATAAAACAACACATGAAAAATCATATAAGCACTAATACAATTGTACTGTGGGAACTCAAAGCTCCATTTCCATTGACAGATAAACGAGAACAAAAAATTAACAACCAAATATGAGAAGTGAATCACACTTTTGAATAAATGGATTTAGTAGATGTCTACAGAGCATTTCACTTCACATTGTCAGAATACACATTCTTCTCAGTTGCACACTGTACTTTCTTGAAAATGGACGACTTACTAATATATAGAACATGCTTAAGTAAATGCTATGCAGCTCAGACTCACAGTGAGCCTGCTGTCTCAGCCTTCGCAGCACTAGCATTACAGAGGTGCACCACCACACCAAGCTTCCTGGGCTGGCACACAGGGTGTGGGTTTCAGGGCCTGCATGCAGTGCCGGGATCGAACATGGGTTCTTGTGCTTGCTAGGCAGGTGCTGAGACTGCCAAGCTATTTCCCCAGCCCAAACTTAAATAATTTTTTTTTATTTTGGGGTAGGGTTTACAGGTTGTTCAGGGTCTCACAAATAGACCAGACTAATAGTGATCTTCCTGTTTACAGCCTCCCAAGAGCTGGGATTACAGGAAATAATTTCAAAAATAAAAAAGAGAAACAAGAACGCTGTTCAGAATCCTAAGGGCTTTACAAAACTTATAATTCTTTTATCTGAAAGAGAAATAAACATGCAATATTTGTTTATTGTCCATATTTAAAATAAGTTTAATTGAGAAAACATTATTAACTGGGTAAAATGTATACAATGTAAAATGCATGACAAGTGATTTTAACCTAGTTAATTAATTTTGATTATATCCACATTGCTGTGCAATTAATCTCTAAAATTTTTCACCTTGCAAAACTGAAACTGTATTGATTAATGGAAGCCTCATTTCCCCTTTCACCAACATATAGCTACCACCATTGTCACTGTGAATTTGACTACTCTAAAAAACTCATAGAAGTGTAATCATGCAGCACATATGCTATAGTATACCTCAGAATTTCATTTCTTTTTAAGGTTGCATACTACCCTATTCCGTGTATATTCCACACTTTGTTCACTCATCCATGGTTAATGAACATCTGGATTACTTTCACGATATGTCCATGTATGACTGACATATAGGCCAGTAACCTGAGTAAGGACAACCATCTTGGATAGAATGAATAAAGGAAGGAGAAAGAAGCATGCTCGTTCTGGAAGAGCTCAAGTCTCTGCTATTGCTTTTGGACAGGTCTCCAATTTCTTCAGCTTTCCCGTGCAGACTTACACACTGACTCTATAGTGGGCTTCTAGTCCTTTGATTTTTGATGATTGTTTGTCCTTCATCCCTCTTGTTGTGAGGCTTCCATCTTGTTGTGTTGAGCAGATACCTGAGCCTCTGATTTTCCAGCTTACAGATGGTCACTGTGGGTTCTTCTGCATCTAATCCTGTAGTCTTACCTAGTAAACCCCCTTGGAGAATTTTGCATATATTTTTTATTGATTCTGTTCCTCTTGAGAACCCTAATGCAACATCCTAATTCAGAAAGCTTAAACTTTTTCTAAAAATGTAATCCTAGATGGAAATGCAATTGCATCACAATCCAATATGCATATATATAAGTACATAAAGAATAAATTTAAATCAATATATGAAACAGGTGGCATAAAAATTTATCATTATACATGGAAAGTACTCCAGTGCCATCCATCCCATGCTAATCTTAGGGACAAAAGTTGGTCTTGGTACACAAAACTTGTTTTTCCTCCACAATTTGGAGAACTGCAGTTTACTTCTACTACCTGCTTAAGCTGTTCTGGAACCTGTGTGCACAAACATGATGGCAAGATTTACTGTCCATGGAATGAAGAGAGTCTGCAGGAGAGTTATAAGAATAATGTGTAGTAAACACAATAGTTTAGTTTCATTAAGTAATCTGTGGCATAGGAAAATGCTAATAATTTCCAAGCCAGTAATATCCTAGAGTAGTAGAAGATATTGAAATCAATAATTTCATTCTGTGAAAAATCTGGGGAAGTACCTTTATGGTAGAGGGAAGAAAAGATGTCAGGCTGAAGGTGTACTTAAGATCAGTGACAAGAGAGTGAAATGTACTCAGGGCAGCCCCCACCCACCACACTGGGGATGAGGCTGTGCAGGCAGAAAAGGGGCACATGAGAGGACACTGCATTCCACACAAAGGATTGGAAGACATAGCAAGCAGTAAAGAGAAAGGAAGGCTATGAGGGGATTTTTATCTGAGACTTGGGTTGTTTCCTGGAATTTATCACAATGTGAATGGGCTTCATTGTTTCCCTCTTCACTGACTCTGAGATCACTGAGGACAGGAACTTGCTGCAGCACTTGTGCTACCTGGACCAGGCACAATCCTGATATTAGACTTGAAGCACGTACCCATACCTAAGCAGATGTCACCTTGTCGCTGTGCTCCTCATTTGCCCATGCTGTCATGCTATTCTGCATTCCTGGCAGCACTGCTTGCCCTGGTCAGGAGCACACACAATGCACTTACCTTGGACTTCCGGGTAGAGGGCCATGTATAGCAGACCCCAGCGCAGTGTTGTGGATGTTGTTTCAGTCCCAGCAACAAAGAGGTCCAAGGTGCTGTAGATGAGGTTTTTTTCATCAAAACTTGAAGCAGTCTTGTTTGTGTGCTAGGAAGGACAGTTTTTATTAAAAGTTCATTCAGAGAGTCTCGGATTGCCACCATACATAGCAGAAAGTTTGAAGGAAAGGGCAAAGAGAAATTATTTCTCAAGAAGCAGCTATACCAACAGTGTCCACCTGCCCTTCCTATTAGAAGTTAAAATAAATTCTTCAACATTCACTGTTTGGAAAAAGTCAAGTAAAGCCACAAAGACCTGTACATAGGACTTCCCTACATACGAAGGCATTCCACAGGTAACCCAGGTACGATATGAGCATCCGTCAACCTCTAGCTGGAGCAGCAGATGACTGGACTAACTGACCAGTCTGATCCACGATTAGGACAAAGCCCAAAGGAGAAGGAACAACAAGATCAGTAATCCACTCAAACTCCAGTCCCTTGGCCTACTCCTAGCAGAGACCAGAGGAATAATGATTTTTGCATCTACCAATGTAAATAAACAAGGACACAACTTGGCTTGGACAGAAATTACAGTCTGGGGAGAACAGAGGGACCTCTGGAGCAGGAAAGGTGCCTCAAAAACCCAAGACCTAAAACTCCATGGAGAAAACCCTGGTTGGCTGTATCATAAGACTGCAGAGTTTGGATACAAGCTACTCATTTAGATATACATTAGCATTTGTTCTTTGACTTAATCATTTAAATTTCTTCTATTTTTAATTATTTCTTTCAGTTTTGGGGGAAATGTGCTTTTTAAAATCATTTTTCTCTTTAATTTCTTTTGTCTCTTTCCCTCTTATCCTGTCCCAATGTTTTTCTTTATCTTTCATTGTGTGATTTTTAAAAATTATTCTATTATTCTTCTTATTCACTCTTCCCTATGCCTGTTTTCTAACACTATTAATTTCCTTTTACTCCTAAATAGGATGCCCTACCTCACATCACACTAAATTTTAATATTTGAATGTATTTCATTCTCTGGTTCCTAACACCCTCTACATTATGGCTTGTGTCCAGATAGCCCCCCAAAATCTTATGAAGTTATAGGTGGGGCTCTTTTTGAAGTGGTTGAATCTAGATTATGCTACACTGGGGCTGTCCCTGGTGCAGTACCAGAATCCAAGGCACTAAGAATAAGAATGTGAGTGCTACCTGCCCTAAGTATCTTGAATAAGATAAAATGGACAGAAAGAGCTGGGGTTATTCCTTGTTTGTTTGCTACTTTTTGCCTGTCATTAATTATTCACCTCTGTAGAGACTTCCTCCTTTTAAGCCAGCTGATTGTGGACTGAAGCCCCTAAAATCTGTAAGCTAGATGAACTTTTCCTTCCTTAACTTATGAACATTGGGTATTTTGTCTGAGCAATGATAAAAGTAACTAAAACATTCCACTTTTACTAGCATAATTATTAAGTTCTAAGATTCTCTAGTTAGCTAGTAATATTTATGTTATTTTTTAATACTGTTCTGTTGTTAGTAGAAGGAAAACTTAGTAGCTGTCTAGTATATTTTTAATGTGGTTAGGGACAGTACCTTATTGATTCTTAGGGTTTGTGAATATCCAGTTTGTTTTTCATGCTATTACTGTTTCTGATTTTAATACTACAGATAAGGTAACATAGTTGATGCTGTTGTTGTGATACCAATATCTGGATTGCCTAGAGATCATCATTCATTGAGAATACCATGGCCCAGGGGCCAGGGAGATAGCTGAGTAGAATAAGTGCTTATGTGGAAAGCACAAGGTCCTCAGTTCAAGTGCCAGCACCACACACAAAAAAAAATACTGTGGTCCATTAGAAGAACTGTGTATTACACCAAATATGCTGCATCCTTTCTCCAAGATAAATGGAGATGACTGCTTCCTGGGACAGAGGCAAAGGCCAATAGTCACAGTAAGAGAGATCCACTGAAAGTAGACATTAACTAAAGAGGTCTCCAGAAGCACAACAAAGCTTTCCTGTATAATCAACCCATGAACTTCAACATAATAAAAAAAGAAAAAAATAGAAACAGGAGAATGCAAGGCAACAAAATGCCTCTCCAAATTCCAAACTCCCCTAAAGGTGATCCACAGGGTATCAAAGGAGAGGAAACCAAAATATGAGTACTTGACATATTAAAAAAATATTAGAGAGATAATAAATAGATCAGTGAGGCATTTAGCAAGATTAAAAAAGACATAAGTAAATAGACACTGACCTGCATAAACAAGATAGTCAGCATGTGTACAAAATACATTAATAGATAGCTAGCAAGCAAATAAAATGATGAAAAACATGAATGACAAACATAAAAAATGATTAAAATCAATAAAATGGTTAAAATAGAAATTGAAAGATTAAAAATGTAATTATAAGTTTAGGCAGTAAAGTTGACCAGTGTGAAGATAGAACTAGAAGACAGCCCTTTTATGGGTGACTAATTAATACAGATATCTTAAAGTAATAAATAACTCACCATTAAAAAAGGATCCAACAGCTCCTACATGATGCAAAGAATACTAACCCAAGATTAAGTGTATTGGGGAAATAATCAGCAAAAAGCATAGATATTTAAATGTGTGTTTACTTAAAATAGTAGAAAAGGTTACACATAAGAGTAAAGAAATAGAATATACAGAGAAGAGAGGCAAATAGAACCCCGAGTAGCCATGATCAGAAAATAGTTTCTCTGAGACATATCACAGTCAAAATCCAGGAAGTCAAACATAACAGAATCAAGTGGTCAGAGAAAAGCAACAAATCACTTATAAGGATAAACTCATTAAAATTACTGTGGAATTTCCAATACACATCCTAAAGACCAGAGAGCTTGGAGTTAAGTGTAACAAGCTCTAAAAGGAAATAACATCTAGCCCAAGCTTAGTTACATTGCAGCTCTATTAGTGAATAAGAGATCGAAATTTAGAACCAGGAGGGAACTCCCTTGTAAGAGTGAAACATCACTTAAATGGGCTTCTATTAGGCAAGGCTCTAATGAACCTTTCCAAGATTTTGCTGCAGGTTTGTGGCAAGCTACTGAGAAGATTATCAATATCAGAGAAGCTAGCAAAATAATAGTTCAACAATTGGCCTTTGAAAATAAACTAAACGGTGTAAAGGGGCTTTAAGAGACCAGAAACAGGGGCTCTACTGCCTGAGATGATTCAGATTTGTGCGGATGTTGGCCCCTCATGCTCACAAGGCACTGCCTTCATGGCAGCTGTTATTCAGGTTATTCATCCACAGTCTAAAAAAGGGGGGAAAAGTAAGGTCATTTGTTTCCATTGTGGGGATGAGGGACATGTAACCCAAAACTGTTTTGCTACACCATAGACAACACAGTCTTTACCTGTATCTTCAATAAAACCTTCCAGTCCATATAATATATATAGACCAGGGTACCATTGGGCAAGTGACTGTAAATCTAAAACTGATGAGAAAGGCCAGCCCATTCAGGAAAACTTCCCATGGGTTGACCTTGGCCCCAGAAAACAATGGGGCTTTCCCCTCCTCCACCACAAGCATCTTTGATCATTGATGAGCAACAACCGACAGTAGAGGTTTGGACCTCAGTTCCTCCTCCAGATTCCTATTGACTCCTGGCATGGGGCCCCAACTTATTCCTACTGGAGTCCATGGACCTTTGCTTCAGGGTACAGTGGGAATCTTGTTAGGCCTCAACAGTCTCATTTTAAAAGGTCTCCAGATGTTGCCTGGTGTAATTGATGCTGATTATACTAGAAAACTCTGAGTTATTATTCAATTACCCAAACCACTGCAAAAATCACTCCAGGTACTCCCATTGCTCAATTGTTCATTTTTCCCTTGCAAAAATTTGAAAATTTGTTAAAAAAAAAAAACAATTCAACTATTTTACTTCTCCTAATACTTATTGGGTTCAACAGCTTAAACAAAATCATCCAGAGCTGACTATTAAAGGAGAAGCATTTAAAGGACTATTAGACATAGGTATAAATGTTTCAGTTATTGCTCAGCATCACTGGCGTGAGGCATGGCCTTTGGATGTGGTCACTACAGATTTACAAGGTAGGACAAGGTTTCTTACCCAAGCAGAAGTGCTAAGTTGCTAATTTCCAGGGATGTAGAAGGTCATTCTACATATTGTTCTTCTATGTCCATCCCCATATACTAGTCAATCTATCAGCTAGTGACATATTTCAGGGTATGGGAACATTTTTGGCCAGTCCTAACTCCCTGATGGTTCATCAGATGTTACAATAAGATTTCTGTTCCAATCAAGTGCTTGGTAAAAATAATCAAGAGGGGGGAAACCCTCTTTTGGCATAGGGCATTTTCAGGAGGGGTCTTGGTCCCTTTTCCAACCCCACGGATGGCATCCAAGATAACTTGCGAGTCTGATGACCCTGTTTAGTTTGATCAGTTGCCCCTAACTCAGGAGAAGATTATAGCAACGCAACTCATACACTGGTAAATGAACAGCTGACAACGGAGCACCTAAAATTTTGCAATAGCCCTGAGAATACCCCAGTTTTTGTAATTAAAGAATATATATCAGGAAAGTGAGAATTACTATAGGACTTTCAGGCAGTCAATCACACCATGGAACCTATGAGATCACTGCAACAGGGATTGCTCAATCCTGTAGCTATTCCTTTACATGTTTCCTTATGGTGATTGATTTAAAAGAATGTTTATCTCCTATCTATTTCCACACTGAAGATAAAAAAAACATTTTGCTCTTACTTTGCCCTCTATTAGCAATCAGGCCCCCATACGCTAATTTCAATGGTGTTGTCTACCACAAGGTATGACATATAGTTCAAACCTGTCCTAAGAGTTTGTGGCTATGGCCATTCAGTCAGTGCAATAGGCCTATCCATTGGCATACATTACCCAGTATGTAGATGATATTCTCTTGGCACATGAAGCCCTATCCATATTACATCAAAGGTCTATTCAATTAGACGATGTCCTCCATGATGCAGTTTTAGTAACAGCTACTAAAAAGATACAAACTATGGTGCCTTTTTCATATTTGAGACACCTACACGTTATTCAACAGAGGCAAACTGCGCCCCAA